AAAAAATAATAACAATAAATAAAAATCATTTATCTGTGTACAGAATGACACTCTGGTCTTCCAACATCTGGCAGAAGTGTTCTCAGCTTTCTGATACACAGCACTCAGCAATGTCTTTATGATGGAAAGCACTGTTATTAACAATCACACAGACACAGGCTACCAATGAAAAACACTGTAATAGCCAGGCATGGTAGTGCACACCTTTAATACCAGCACTCAGGAGGCAGAGGCAGGTGGATCTCTGTGAAATTGAGGCCAGCCTGATGTACATAGTGAGTTCTAGGCCAGCTGGAGTTACAGAGAGACCCTTTCTCAAAAACATCAAAAAAAATTACTGCAATAGGCAATAGAAACATGCTGACAGTGCAGGTGACTTCCTCCAAATTGAGAAGACAGGTAGAAACCAGTCAATATTTTTATAGTGCCAATATGTGTTTTATAGGAAAAGGAGATTTCAGATATTTAAAACATGGAGCTTGGGGAGCTCCAAGAAAGTGGTGGAAAACAGAAGCAGGATGAGTCTTCTCAAGTACACCATGTTGTGGGCTAGGAAGAAGGAAGGGGAAGTGATTTACAATGTGGAATAGCTCATAACACCTACAATTTGATACAGAAAGAAGTGACCTTCAGGCAGGGTAGGGAGTGTCCAAGTTTCTTTTCCTTCTTCCCCTCCCCCTTTTTTTTTATAGTGGAATATTTTTATCACAGTGAAATAGGGCTGAAAATGGCAGTGTGTTAGTACTGGGGCAGTTTTATACTGGAGAGGTGAATTTCACATTCTTTTTCATTCTAAGACAGGACCTTGCCAGGTTGCACAGGCTGGCCTCAAACTCACACTCTTCCCACCTCCTGCCTTCCAAGTATTTGGGTTACAGGCATGGACAACCATATCCAAGATCTAATAGTTTTTAGTTTTTGACATGCGAAAATTATATTCTATGTGATCAATTTTCATAAAGTATTATAGTCATAGCAGAGTTATTTGAACTCTTCTAAGGTGACATTGGGTCTTTTAAATACTCTTTTGAAACTTTAATGTGAAATAACTTCTCTAAGTCCTCAATGTATTGAAGTTTAAAGTGCTGATCAATTGATTTCTACCTGGTGTAAATGATTTTTGTGCTTAAATGTGACAGCATTTCAATGAGCATATTAAAGTTGGCCTCCTGACACTCTGCCCTTCCCCACAAAAAGAAAAGACTGAGGCCTGGTGGGAAAGTTTACTTTTAAGTCATAGCTGAGTATTGGCTGACATCTTTATGTCACGCTATCTCTTGAACATTTTATGCTACAAGCAGAGCAACCTGAATTAAGTGTTTCTAATAACTTCTAATGCTTTAAATCCTGATTACATTTTATGCATCTGCTGTGAGAAGTCTTCTGCCATCATGAGATTTTGAACATTTCATTGAGCTGCTCTCTCTCATATGCACATTCTTTCTCTCTCTTTGTCTCTCTTTCTCTCTCTTTCTTATTCCTTCCCCCAATGTTCTAAAGAAATCAAGGTTTTGGAAGTCTTAAGACAATTAACCAAAGGATTGACAGTGAGAAAGTGTAAGTAAAAACATCTCTGTCTTTTTAAAAAATCTTTATCATTTTTGTTTTATGTATGTGAGTGTTATGCTTGCATGTATGTAAGTGCACCCATGTCATGCCTGTGGAGGTCAGAAGAGGGTGTTGAATCCCCTGTAATTGGTGCTACAGATGGTTGTTAGCGGCCATGTGGGTGCTGGAAATTGAACCTGGGTCTTCTGCAAGAGTAGCCAGTGCTCTTAACCACTGAGCCATCTCTCCAACCCCATAAAACCATCTCTTGATGGGACTTTTTTTTTTTCCAGGGCAGATTCTTATACCTCATCTGGGAGTTTTGTATTTTTTCTGCCATAGGTGAACTCTTTGGATCCATCAGCGATATTAGGCCAAAGGAATATGATCAGTGCTGCTTCTAGAGGGCAGCATGCAAATTTACTACTGAACCTCTCATTCTCTTAGTCTACATTTTCTTAAACAATTAAACCAAGGGTCAACTTTTAATGTGAATTAAGAAATCTAAAGGAAAAAATTACAAAGTGGGAGGCATGTGGGACAACTTTTCTAAACGCATCAGACTGGGTTAAATCAATTCCTACTGTGGAAATGAACAAAGATAAGAAGCTAGAGAATGGGACTGGGGAGATGGCTCAGTCAGTAATGTACTGCTGTGCTGGCATGAGAACCTAAGTTTGGATCATCAGCACCCATGTGAAAACTGTGTGGTTAGCAACTGCAACCCCAGTACTGGGGGAGACAGGGACAGGGGTAATACCTGGAGCTTGCCGGTCAGCCAGTTTAGCTGAGTCTGTGATGTGAGCTGCGGGTTCACTGAGATAGCCTGTCTCAAAAACAAGGTGGAGAGCAGCAGAGGACGACTCTGGCCTTCACACACACACATGTACATTATAGCCAAGGTCTTTGTGGTCTTTTGTTTCTGGGAACGTCTGACCCCGCATTCAGGTTCATTTTTGTTTTTACTGATTTTAGCAACCTAACCGATGTAAATTTTGATTTTTTTTTTCTTCAAAGCAGCCGAGATCTTGGATCTGTTGTCAAAACTGATGCCAGGGCAGATAAAAGCAGCAGAGGGTAAGAACTGCTTGAGTGCCTTTGAATATCCATCCTGGATTAATTGGTGACCTTCTCAGGGACATGGAGGGAATCACATAGCTTTGAGTCTGTCTGCTCTCTTCTGTGTCTTACCTCTGGAGCCCTGTTATTTATTTTGAAGTGTGTATTTTTATTATATCTAATTTTACATTTATACATAGCCCAACAAATCTTGGAGATTTGTTTAACTATATTATTTACTCAATTTTTATGTCAAAATAAATTTGATATCAGTATAGTAATTTTCTCCAAAAGTTTGAATTAATCACTAAGACCACAGACCATGTAGTATATACCTAATGCTATGGAAATATTATTTTTAAAAATATTTTATTCATTATTTTATGTGTATGAGTGTATTGCCCTTATGTATGTAAATATACCCTTGTTATACAGTGCCCATGGAGGTCAGAATAGGGCATTGGATCCCCTGAAACTGGAGTTATAGACAGTTGTTAGCCACTATGTGGGTGCTGGGATTCAAACCTGGGTCCTCTGTCTTAACTGCTGAGCCACCTCTCCTGCCCCAGAAATATTATTAAACTAATATAAACATTCTTTATTTAAGAGGTAAAGACCTTGATACTGTTATCAGGGAGAGGCTGGGCAGGTACCTGAACAGGGAATAAGAACCCACTGCTGTGTTACCTGTCCCAAACTATTGACACAGCATCAATACCCAGTCCTGCACATCTACCATCCCCTGATGTTCCTTCTGAGCTCAACTTATCATTCTTTAAAAAATTTTCTGCGTGGGGCCTGGTGGTGCATGCCTTTAATCCCCACACTTGGGAGGCAGAGGCAGACAGATCTCTGTGAGTTCTAGGCCAGCCGGGTCTCCATAGCAAGTTCTAGGACAGCTGTGGTTACAGGGAGACCCTGTCTCAAAAAGACCAAAAAAAAAATTATTTTTATTTTATGTGTAAGTTTTACCTGTCTATGTACATCACATGCATGCAGTAGCCATGGAGGCCAGAAGAGGGCATCCGATTCCTTGGAACTGGAGTTATGGATGGTTGTGGGAACCCAACCTGTGTCCTCTGCAAGAACAGCAAATGCTCCTGATGGCTGAGCCATTTCTCCAGCCCCTCTTTTTGGTTTTTAAAGGAGCAGAATATATATACCCAGAAGAAGCAAATCTGCATTTCCTACTATGTGATGACATTTTTTTTATTTTAAATCTTACTCTAGGGACTGGAGAGATGGCTCAGCAGTAAGAGCACTGACTACTCTTGCAGAGGACCTGGGTTTGGTTCCCAGTACCCACAAGGTGGCTAACCACCATCCATAATTCCAGTTCCAGGGGATCCGACACCTTCTTCTGACTCCCATAGGCATTTCAGGACACAGGTGCACTTACATAATGCAGGCAATACACTCATACACATAAAATAAAAATAAGAATAAATAAAAATATTTTTAAAATTTCACTCTTTGTTAGTTATGATAATTTACTCTGAGGCAAAAGATATTTAAAAGGTTTGGGCTGGGGGTATGATTGTTGGGTTTATACGAAGGCATGCTTTCTTATTCATTTCAATATTGTGAAATTATTTTATTATCAATATTTTTCTTATTATTTAAAACAAAAATAGACAATTGTTATCATTTTGGTGCGTATCAATTTATATTCAGTCTGGATCCAACTTCAACTAACTGTTACTTCAATGTGAACCGTTTAGGGTGATCTAACAAGAAATATCTGAAGGCAACATTGATTTTGTTTAATAACAAGTTTCATATATACTTATGTTCTAAGAACAGACAGTTTGTTTGTGGTTAGCAAATAAACAACTCTAAATGATCTTCAACTCCAGATATGAGAAGAATTTTCATTTGTATCTAGAACTTTAAATATTTACATGGGTATAGATAACTTTTATATTTATCTCTTCCTAATTTTTGAACCAGTATTTATTTAATTGGTGTTTTTTTCAAAGAAAACAAGACCCAGAGAGACTTATTAAAGTAAATCATGAAGCAAATAAAAATACGAAGAGGTAAGACATCTAAAACTTCCCTCTCCCTTTGCCTGGCATTTATAAACACATTAGAATTCTAGTGTTTGTGTTCAGGACAGTGAATTGAAGTTCAAGCCAAAACAGACAACAATGTTTTCTCCAAATACATTTTATTAAGTGATTTGATACACCGTGATGCATCCAAGTTGATACACTGTGTGATGCATCCAAGTTGATACACTGTGTGATGCATACAAGTTGATACACTGTGTGCAATATAAAAATTGTTATATTTTGTTCTTGGGCGAGGTTTGCTATCTAGTAATTTTGAGAAATTAAATGACAAGTTTGACTAGTCTTGACTTGTGCTAAAGGAATTATTTCATTTCATGTGTGTATTAGTGTATGTGGGTATGCATGAATAGTGTGTGAAGTGTATGTATAAAAGTGTGCTGAAGTGTATGTTCATAAGTAGTAGGTATGTGCCTAATGAATGTATGCACATAAGAGTAGGATGTACATGAATGCTTATGTGTGTATACATGTGTATTTGCGTATTGAAGTAGTGTTTGTATGTGGTATAGTCATGTGTAGGGAATGTGCATAAACTTTGGTTTGTATTTAAAGATGATGAGCTCAGCAAAGTGCACTGGATTAAAGAGTTCCCTTCATGAATTGTCACATGAGCCTGGAAAACTTGGGGTTTAGTTTTTAAAACAGTAGATGGAATATTTTTGAAATTGAACTTGCCTGCTTACAGCTGAAACAGTGTAGCAAATGATTCCATGTGGCTTCCCTTGGATTCTTTTCCATTTACTTAGCTCATCACGTGATATTATTTGTTGATTCCAAAATGTATCACCAATGCCTGAAGGCCCTGCTGGCAGAGCAAGGGTTCAGCTAGCTAAAAACTGCTTTGCACACTGCCATACTGTCCTGCTTTTAGCTGTGTGGCAGGTCAGAGGCACAACCACCCAGTGAATTACACTTGCAGTCCTATAACCAAGTCCTGCCGATTTGCTGAGAAAAAAAGCATTGATCACTTTGACTCCCGAATGATTCAGGAAATAAATGAGGATTGAATATGAGCAAGGACTCTGAAAGCCCAGGGTTCAAATTCTGCTTCTGGCTATATCACTGACCCTGTTTCCTTATCTACCAAAATAGAATCACAGCTGGGTATCTTGGGTATGGTGGTGCATGCCTTTAATCCAGGCTAGCTGGGGCTTCGGGGAGACCCTGTCTCTAAAAAAACAAAACGACAAGAAAAGGAATCATAATATGCTTGGACTTGGTCACATACAAGATACAAACAATGAATTGGAAATGAATTGTCACAAAATATTCAACTGCATATTATATATATATTTATGTATATATAAAATTCACCTGAATTCTCTCTCTCTCTCTCTCTGGCTCTCTCTCTCTCTCTCTCTGGCTCTCTCTCTCTCTCTCTCTGGCTCTCTCTCTCTCTCTCTCTGGCTCTCTCTCTCTCTCTCTCTGGCTCTCTCTCTCTCTCTCTCTGGCTCTCTCTCTCTCTCTCTCTGGCTCTCTCTCTCTCTCTCTCTGGCTCTCTCTCTCTCTCTCTCTGGCTCTCTCTCTCTCTCTCTCTGGCTCTCTCTCTCTCTCTCTCTGGCTCTCTCTCTCTCTCTCTCTGGCTCTCTCTCTCTCTCCTCTGTGTTTAGGCAGGTTCTCACTATTTAACCCTGGCTGGCTGGCCTGTAACTTTCTGCCCTGAGTGCTGGAATTAAAGGTGTGCATCACCACACCCAGCCCTGGTGAAATATATATTTTTAATGATTTAGACAGTGTACATATACTTAGTATACCTTGACATCATTGACATCCACATTTTCCATTCTAATTTTTATTAGAACATTCCAAATTGTGACCTCCTATTTATATATTGGAATGGGTATATGTGTACATGATTAGATGTGCACATATGTACATACATACATGTGTGAATTCCTGTATAAGTATGCATGCGTGCTCATGAGTGAAGGTATGTGTCTCTGTATATGGGTGTACATACACATGAGTGTCTGCATGTGTGAATTTTGTATATGTGCATGATTACACACATGTGAATTGTGGTTGTGTGTGTATGTGTATATGTGTATGAATGTATGGGTGCATGTGTACATAGATGTGTGTATGCATGTGAGCAGGTGTGAAAAGTATATTTGTAAGAATTTTTTTGGTAAGCTTTCTAAGAACTTTTAAGGATAGTAGTTGTCATTTGCTTTATACATAATAAAATTCTGTAAATATTTTAAAAATAAAGTCAGGGATTGTGGAGATTGCTTAGTAAAGGGCGTGCTGTGCAAGCAGGAGGGCCTGAGTTACATCCCGGCACCCATGTAAAAGTTGGGCATGGTAGCACACACCTGTAATTCCAGCACTAGGAAGGTGAACACAGTAGTATCCCAGGGGCTTGCTGATCTGCTCATTTTACCAAATTGCCGAGTTCCAGGTTCAGTGAGTGGCTCTTGTCTCAAAACATAAGGTGGAGAGTGATATGGGGAGGCACCCAACGTGGACCTCTGGCCTCCACACATTCGTGTGTGTGTGTGTGTGTGTGTGTGTACGTGTACAAGTATGAACACGTACATGCACTTAAACCATATACACAATCACACACACATGCACTCATATACATGCACACACTCTCATGCACACGCATACACAGTGAGATCATTCATCTTTCCTTGTTAAAAAACTTGCACTGCTTTTCCATGTCAGATAGAATAAAATTCTAATGCTTTGTGACAGCCTTTTATGTTCTCAGTAAAGCCCCACCAAGTAACCTTTCCTATTTCAGGTCCATTTTTCCTTAAGGCTTCTACATGTGCAGTTTCCATTTCCTGGAATGTTCTGTCCCCACACTGTTACCCTTTCAAGCAGGTCATTTTGACCACTGGATGTGATTAAATCACCATCCCCACACATTTGTCCTCAGCCACAAGCACAAGATACTCTTAGTATGTTCTGTATAGCATATACTGTTATCTGAAATTGGGCACTTCACCTACATGTCTGTCTGTGTCCTGTCTCTCCCCAGCTTGGAATGGAAACCTTGTGCAAGTTAACCTTGTGTATGTTTTGCACATCCATCTCAGCACGCGAGGCAGACCTACATCTTCAGTCTTTTCAATTTGTGGACAGAAATAATGTCTAAATACTGAAGAAATATACACTATGAGGCAGTGTTTCATTTAGTTACATTTCAAATATTGTATCATTACTTTAATTAGATTATCGTATTTATTGGTTCACTTTTCTTTATTGACTTTATGTACTAATAATTTAAATAACCTTGTACAATTATGTGACTCATTTATAGTTTAAAGAGAACAAAGTCTTCTTAAATAATGAAAGCAAACTCCTCAGCCAACACAATCAAAGAAAGGAGTTACAGTGCTTGGTGATCTGTTCCTTTTTTGAACACTAAAATCTTGAAACAGAAACCTGGGAATTTTTTTCCTAAGATCATGGTATTCAAATCTCATACACTTAATTTAGGTAAAACCTAACAAGGGCCAATCTGGAGCAGAGCAGTTGTTTCTGTGGGATTGTTTTATTATTTGCATAATGAAAGTCCACATATTTTCAATGATGCTTTTAGTCTGAGTATTGCATCCTCAGACATCTGGATGAATCAAAACACTTGGGTCAACATCTGGTTGTTTCCAAATATCTGCGTCTTTGATGTTTCATAGATGAAACCTCAGAGATTTCTCAGTATGTTCTCAGTAGGGTCATCAAGTGTGGAGAACGTTAAAGCGTCCTCCAGAGGAGCCCCCTTTCCCCATGTGGCATCCTCTGTAGATCAGAGGGACCATTTGTTAGTGCTGTGTATGTGGAAAGCACATGCAGATGCATTAAGAGAAGCACATTCCAATGAGATCAGAAGCAGACATCCACTAAAGGGTAACAGCAAAATGCTCAAGTGTTTTCAGTGACCATGTGGAGTTTATATTACAACCAATATGTCTTACATTTTGGTCCATTTCAGAAACCTATAGATTTTAGTTTTCTTATTGTTTTTTTTCTCAAAACAGTCAAAATGTGTTGTTCTAATATAGAGTTTGTATATAGTTGATTTTTAACAAGTTATCTTTATCTTAATGCAGTTTTATAATAGAAAACGCACCAGTAAATGTCCACAAAATATGGATTCTCAAAAGTTGGTTTTAAAGTTTTACACTTGTTAGAGGTTGCTATTAAGAGACGACGCCTTCAGGAATGATCTCAAGACAAGTATATAGACTAATCAAAAATGTTTTGTGTACCTGGCAGTGTGTACCAAGGAATCATTAAATACGCCAAAATAGAGAAAGTCTATTGAAAAATTTGCTGATGACCAAATGTCTCCAAGATTAAAATCCAGTCTCAATGAGTTTCTGAGATATATCAGTCCCTGCATGCCTTTGGAAATCTTCAACTGTTTGGCATGATCTCATGAGTGCCAGTACAGTTTAGGAGTGTTAATGAATAGTTTCATCCTATTTGTTGAAAATCTACCATTAACCTCTCTATTTCTTCAATGTTTTAAAGGGGCCAGAGCCTTGACAATCTGATAAAAGTGACCCCTGAAGTAAACAGAAGTAACCAAGGGTGCGAGGCAAAGTTTTGTCTTTCTTCCTTCCTCTCCTCATCATTTTGTAGCACTTATAAAAGGATGAGTTGGGAAACATTTGGAGTGAGAAAGCTTGAAGCTCTTGCTTGCTGGCTGGGTGCCCCAGAAAGTCCAGTGTACACTGAGCTGCAGCTGGCTAGTCACAGAACAAGGACCACATGCTTCTATCTTTGGCAGAAAAGAGCTATAGGGATCAAGTGGAATAGCAGTTGTAAAATTCCTTTAAAACAGAAGGTGCTATAAATGGAAATTATTACCAAAGCGTGGCTTAGTTGTAGCTATAGCATTGACTTGAATGCTTTGGGAAAGAGGATGAATTTTTTTGTAAATCATTATTTTATTCCAGAATCAATTACTTAAAAAAATCAATCTTCTCTAACTTTAGAGTTTGATTTTATGAATACGTGGAAAATTAAGCCAGTCTACCAATGATTTGTATGAAGGTTAAAGTTTTACTCTTTTAAGTTGAAGATTTAGACCAGTAATGATTTCCATTGAGACTTAATTGTAAATTTCATCTGAAGTACTTAAATCCTTCAAAGTAAGTGGCCAGTTGATTTAATTCCATTTTTATTGAGCATGGTTTTGGTCTTTTTCCTGTTTAAAGTTCCAAAGATCTTAATAACCTTATCAAAGTCAGTTCAACAACAGGAAAAAGTGTGCGAGGGTAAGATTTAACAAGCTCTTTCTTTTAGTTTCATGCTAAGCGGCGCTTAAAAGTATAGCGAAATCATGTAAGCTGACTGATGGCAAATGCGATCAAGCTCATCTATGGGGCGGGGTTCTAAATTCGATCAGAATCTATTGTATGAAATTAGCAAAAAATAAATTAAAAGGATTATTTTAAGGCTATATCACCCATGAGATTAATAATGTGATAATGATAATAAATATGTCATAAATTAAGTTCTAAGGTTAGAAAAAAGAAAAGTCATATAACCCTCACTACCTCATATCTGAGACATTTAAGACTTTAGTCAGTTTATTCCTAACATAGGGAAGGTGTCTTTGACCAGGTAGGTTCAAGTTGTTTTCCCCAGATAGAGAGGGCATTCTGATTGGTTGATTTCTTTAAGCTGAAGGGTTGCACAGGAGAGGGGAAGGATCTTAGGACTCCACAGATGTGGGTCTAGGTCTGGTCTCAGGCTAGTCACTTCTGTTTGGGTTTTGATTTTTTTTTTTAAATCAAACTGAGGAGCTGGGACTGGCTGCTCTGTTAGATACTTCTAGAGTAAGTCGGTTACTAGAGTTCAACAAAATGGCTGATGTCATGGTAGAGCTTGAGCATTCTGGGACTTTAAACCCTAGCCCTTCCTCTACTAGCCATGTGGAAAAGTGATTCACCTTTCTGTGTCCAGTTTTTCCTTCTATGACATTGGGACCATATTGCTTCCTTCATCTTATAGTGAGGATTGAGTTTGATAAATCTCACCAACTATTTAGAAGAGTGTCTGACATATATATCAAAAGTTAAAGATGAAAGGGAGACCCTGTTTCAAAGATGAAACAAAAAACAAAAAAAAGTTAAAAATAATTGAAAACATTAGTCGTTTCCATTATTTCTGTGCAGTTAGTTATGTACGTATATGTATATACGCAAATGTTCGTACGGCTGGTGCTGAAGGATTCAGCTGTCGGAGATGATGTCTGTTTTATAATGAAAAATATTTCTCAATTTTGATAGTGACAACCACTTGATGTAATTGATGTGGTCATTTCTCCCGTGTTTTTAAGGGGCCAAAGTTTTGACAGTCTCCTTAAAGCAGCTCCTGCAACGAATAGAATTAACCAGGGGTATGCTTATGAAACTCTTCTGAGACTCCTTTTTTTGGATTCACCTTTTAAAATATGTTAAAATGCTTTATACTGTCCTAGAGATAACCTATGGGGGATGTAATATCAACAGCATATGTGTCACCAATCCAAGGGCTGGTACTTAAACCCTTACACAGGACTCCCTAACTATGGAATATTATAGGAGAGAGAATTCCTTGAAATACAGTGGTGATCTTTTTCTAGTATGACATTTATATTCCATAGTTGGCGCTTACTTAAAATGAATGAGAATTCCCATGGGATGAAACATTACCCCAAAATAATTTTCTAAAATTCAGTAGCTTAAATAATGGTCTACAGATGATAAAGGGTTCGGTCTTCTTTCTCCATCATGTATTCCCTTTCTTCTTATTGCCTAAGACCCTTCAAATTGTAATGTGTGTGTGTGTGTGTGTGTGTGTATGTGCATGTGTGTATCTATGTTCGAATGTGTGTAGTCCTGTGTGTGGGCAGGTACATGTGTTGTGTATGCATGTGGCAGTCAGAGATTGACCTAGATGTCTTCCTCAGTCACTCTCCACCTTATATCATTGAGGTAAGATCTCTCAACTTGAACTCAGAGCCCTCTGATTTGGCTAGTCCAGCTAGGATTCAGCCACTCTAGCTAGCTAGTTTGCTCTAGAGATTCCCTGTCTCATCCCTCAAATGCTGGGATTACCGACAGGCCATCACATCTGCCTGGCGTTTTATGTGGTGTTACGGATGCAAACTACATTCCTTATACTAGCATACCAAGTGCTCCCACTGAGCCATCTGCCCACTCCAGGAGGTCATTTAAAAATTGTGCTGCAGTTAGAGAGATGGCTCAGCAGTTAAAAGCACTGACTTTTCTTGCAGAGGACCCAAGTTCAGTTCCTACCACTCACATGACAGCTAACAACTATCTGTAACTCCAGTTCCAGGGAATCTGATGCCCTTTTCTGGCCTCTGCAGGTGCTGCATGTTCATGATACACTTACATACATGGAGGCATAACACTCATACACATAAAATAAAAATAAGTAGATAAAAATTTAAAGATATGTTCAATTTATTGAAATAATAAAAATGATATTTGTCTTCTATAGAGAAAGAATTTTCTCTATGACACAAACCTAACAAAACCATGAACATCTACTGTTATGCTATCTTGGATATGAGTTAAATATGAATGATGTGATCATATATGCCCTGTTTATGACTGTTTCCTATCTTTCTTGGCATGTAGGAAGGTTCTCTGTTTTACTGTGTGTGGTTAACAACACAGGTTGCATAGACAAGACCAGAAGTCAGCAGCTTTAGTCAAAAGTTTAGATAAATAGTTCAGGCTTGGAAGTTCAAAATAGTCTCTAATTTAACTATGTAGACAATTTTGCCAGGATTATGACAGTAATCACAGAAAATACTTTGTAATGAATGTATGAGGATGTCTATGTTCCAATAAAAATTTATTATAAAACCGGGTTGTCATTTGAATTTACCTTCAGGACCTTAGATAGATGACCCTTTAGCCTAGATAATATTTTACTTGGAAGGAAGAGGGAGTGGACACAATTTCTAAAACATAGCCATCACTTTTCCTTTTAACAAAATGTAGTTTCATCCACATGATGATTAAGCTGAAGGTCTTATTAAACTTTATCTCAATCTTTAGTACTATGTTGTTTTTAGATTTTATGACCCAAATAGTATTAAAGCTTTATTGTCAGATGCTGAATTTGAGGAACTGATAAATACAGGTTAAGATTCAGTGAGCAATGCTATTTTTTTTTTTTGTTCTCCCAGGAAGACTTAGATTCCAAAGGTAAAGGTAGCCTTCATTATCTGATCTCTCTGTCTCTCTGTCTCTCTGTCTCTCTCTCTCTTTCTCTCTGTGTGTTTTCATGTGGAAGTGACTGTGGAGGCCAGAGGTGGATGTCCTCTGTTGTTCTCCACCTTATTTCTTGAGGCAGGCTCTCTTACTGAACCTGGAGCTCACTAGTTCGGCTAGACTCTGGGAATCCTGTCGCCACCTCTCTATTCCTAGGATTACAGATACTTACCAGCATCCTGAGCATTTTGAATTTTTTTATTTACTTTATTTTATTTTTTTTACGTGCATGAGTGTTTTGCCTGTGTGTATGTAAGTTCTTCCATGTGTGCAATGCCCACAGAGGCAGAAGAGAATGAAGTCAGATTTCCTGGAACTGTTTAAGGATGGTTGTTAGCCACCATGTTGGTACTAGGAACCTAACCTAGGTCCTCTGCAAAAAAAGCCAGTACTCTTAACCTCTGAGCCATCTCTCCAGCTACAAACCTGACTGTTTTTTAAAAACATGGACACTGGGGATCTGCACTCAAGTCCTCATGCTTGTGCAGCAGGCACTTTACCAACTGAGTTGTCTCCTCAGCCCTGTGTGACCTTTCCTAGTAGCCACATGCTGTCATTTGCTCACTTGGCTGTGTTTGTATTTTCCACTTGGTAGTGAAATGTCTTGAGTTGTGAGCACACTTATTAGCAATTTAGTCTTAGACAAATTGACATTAAACCCCAGCTTCTTTACATATAGAGTAAATGTCTTCATGAGTCACTAGAAAAATTCAATGTGGTCACGCTTAAAATGTGCTTTGTGCTTAAGCATTCGTTACATGATACCTAATGTCATCATTATTGTTGCCACTGCTTTTCCTTTATTTGTCAGATCCTTAATGGCACCACTTGATGCTCAGTTTTAAAGACATCTCTCTCTCTCCCTCTCTCTCCCTCTCTCACACACACACACTAAAAAGACAGCAAAGAGATCATCTTATTAGGTTAAACTTTATGAAAGTGTTCTCAGCTCTTTTTGACCAAATGGTATAGATGATGTAATGGACAGTAATCACCTGGAGGATATATTTATATGAAATTGTAACTATATATGATATGAAAGGAGTTTTCTGAGTGTGGTGGCACTTGTGTGTGATCCTGGCACTCAGGAAGCTACGGCAGGAGGACTGCTGTGAGTTTGAGGCCAGTGTGGACCACATGGTGTGTACAAGGCCAGCCAAAGCTACATAGTAAAACCTCTATCTCAAACAAACAACAAACGATTATAAACTAGTCTCAAAGATTAGTTAAATGATACAAGTTTTTCTGGCCACATTTTTCTCTTTATGATATATACTATATTGTCCAATAATAAAGTATATTAAATCAGACTTTTTGTTTAGGCTTTTTGGTATTGGGTTGGTATGAGATGCTGTTGTCATGACAACAGTACCTCTACAGAAATGTGGCTGTGTATTTGAGTGTTTACAATAAAAATTAAATTACATTATCTGAAATCTTGCTTGTGGTGATTTAGCTTTGAATGAATTACTATTCAGAAATTATAAATGTCTTAGAGTAGTGTCAATATTGCATATTCATGTTATCTATTGCCTATATAACTTAGAATCAGAAAATACTTTAGAAAAACAGTTTTTAAAATTTATTTCTTTTGGAAGATGGAGAAGCAAAGAAAACATTGAAGTTATAAATAATTTTTTCTCTATTACCACTTCCAAAAATATTCTAAATGCTAATGTAGTGCATAAATATAATGTGAAAAGCAAAGTGCTTAAGAATAATTCCAGTTTGAGTTTGATTTGACAAAAGCATGGATAAAACTAAGTTAAATTTTCATTTGTACAAAGACGTTTAAGAAGCAAATTGATAGACATCACTGCTTTTAATTAGGATAAAAAGGATTTAAGTCACGCTAGAGTTTTAAATTTTCATTTAATTCCATAAGAAGACTAAAGAATGTACAAATGACTGTTTTTAGTTAATCTTGTCAGCTATTGAAATGTATTATTTTCAGGAACCAAGACCTGGACAATCTTATAAAAGTGAACCCACCAGTAGACAAAAGGTAAGTTTATGAAGATTATTGAATTTCTTGAGAAATTCTCCAGGTTATGTAAAAATAATTTTATTTGACTTGGAATGTTTCAAAGGGGGATGTGAGAAAGTTAATATGATTTTCTGTTCTATAAAAATATGAAACAGGTTTTTCTTTTATTATTGCACCTACTTATTTTGCTTTAATATTGTTTAAGATGATAACACTGAAGTTAATTCTGCATAATTACTATTTGAGAAATTCCTTGTGACTCAATAATCATATAAATAGATTAAAACTGCAAAATTGGAGTTAATAGATTATAAGTTTATAAAACTGAATAAACTGAAGGGTATCGGTTTGTGACTCATAATCACAAAGATTATTGTTCAAATGACTTGTGAGAAAATGGGCAACATCACATTTTTGTACTTTATTAGAATATTTTTGAATGGCACTAAATTTACTTCTATTCTTCAGAACTTAAAACCATTTATACAGTAGAGCAAAAGTGTGACAGAGAAATTGCAAGCTGTCACTCATAAAGTTGTGAAGATAGTGTTGGTGATGAACATGCAGATGGAAGGAGTTGCTCTGAATATGAGGGAGAGAGAGAGTTCATACTGCATTTATCCTGGTTCAGGAGGAGTACTGTTACTCTGCAGTTGTCCTGGGTTCAGTATTTGTTCCCCTCAGCACTTCTTAGGTATCTGACCAGAAAGTGTCTTAATCCTTATGAAGCTCTCTTCTTTATGAGGGATGGTATATCTACCTTAGCGAGTTATACTGATGTTCAAAAACTGGTAATTAAGCCAGGCATTGTGGTACATGGAGTAATCTCAGCACTTTGAGAAAGAGGAAGAAGAATTTAGAGTTTGAGACCAGCCTGATCTACATAATAAGGCTTTATTTTTAAAAATGTCCCTGGATAGGACTCTTATATTAAATCTCTACTGTCCAGGGCTCAGGAACCATTGTGGAAGATGGCGCAGAAAGACCATAAAAGCCAGGGATGGTGGATGACCAAAAGGAAACAGAGTTTTCCAGGTCTTATATTAAATCTCTACTGTCCAGGGCTCAGGAACCATTGTGGAAGATGGGGCAGAAAGACCATAAAAGTCAGGGATGGTGACAGCTGGGAACTTGTTCATATGAATTTGTACAGCAATGGTGACATCATACACAAGACCCATGCAAACTCAAACCAGACAAAAATCCTGCATAGAAATGGGAAAATGGGCAAGAAGCCCCAGCCTTAGCTGAGGAACTATTGGCAACTGATCACTGCTGAGTGAGGACTTCTTTAAGAGTTGGTCTTCTTTAAAAGAGTGATGTTAGACAGGTTGACCAGGCTCCAGTGGATGAACTCACACCAAGGGACATCTGGGGACACAAACCTGACTTGATAGGCCTTAACATATATGATGGAATACATGAAATCTGGTGGGAAGGGTATAGATAAGGGTGGGGGTCTAAATATGATTAAGATGTATGAAATACACAAAAATTCAATTAAATAATTTATTCTGGGCATGGTGACACACGCTTTTAATCCCAGCACTCAGGAGGCAGAGGCAGGTGGATCTCTGTGAGTTCAATGCCAGCATGGTCTACATAGTGAGTTCCAGGACAGCTGGGGCTACAGGGAGACCCTGTCTCAAAAAAAAAGATATTAAAAAAAAGAAAAAGTAATTAATGAATATGAGGTAGAAACCCAGTAACATACTATTTTTTATTCTATATTCCCATTGAATAATTTACAACCACAAAAAATAACTCAGAAAAGTTGATTTCCAATTGACTTTGCCCTTTTTATTTTGTTTTAGCAGTCATCAAGGTCTTGATGAATTTATTAATGTAAGCCCCAAAGCTGTCAGAACCACTGCTGGGTAAGAGAATAATACTATTTTTATGCTTTGTTTTGCTTTCTCTGTAACTAAACACAAAGTTAATATAAATGCCATAATCATTCTTTGGGCAAATTGAAAGCAAGTCTTGAAATAGCATCATAATTTTTATATTACTTGGAAACTTACATGTTAATTTCAGTATTTGCAAACAGCAAAACACAGGCAACCAGAAATGTATACAACAGGGCCTTCTCTTAGCCTAGAGTACAGCGACAGAGGGGAACAACTGAGCAAGGGTGGTAGGAGCAGAGTCAGTTGATGGGCTGCACATTTTTTTTTTGGTTTGAATGACATTAATGCTAAATTGTTGTTTCTGAAGCTATGATTTATGAATGATAGCTACTTAAAAGACAGACCTAGCTATTTTATTAGGTGCATTATTAGTAATATGCTTACTTCTTTGTGGAAGTGTTTTTTTGGGGGAAGAGTGGAAATTTTATGAACCTCATTGTTCTTTAGTGGACTGGTGCTCACACAAAGGATATGGACTCAAACTCTGATCATTCTTTAAGTAGTGTCTCTAAGATAATTCAAGTAACTCTTTGTTCTTGATTCTGTACAACATTTATGTTCTTATATATTCTCTATCTAAATATCTGTTTTTCTTTCTATAGCATCTTAGGAATATTTTTATGATTTCCATTTTAAGTTTTGTTGACATCTAAAAAAATCATAAAACATTACAGGTAGAATGAAAGAAGTTTAGACAACCTTAGTCTAGTTAATTTGAACAGTTTTGAAATCCACTGTCCTGATTGCACCTGTTTTGTAGAAGAGGAAAGGACTCAGAAAGGTTAAGCGATGTGGCCAGGGTCACAGAGAAAATTAAGGGAAGACTGACAGTAGTTCTGTGATCTTTTTGGCAGTGAATAATTACTGAGAACCTACTGGGCTCACAGCTATGACTAGGTATCATTTACTTGCGTGTTAGGTATAATTACAGGCCGTGGACACCAAAAAGAGATTCAGTAGTCATACTCAATCTTATTAACAGCAGGCAATTAGCATAGATTAAAGCTAATTATGTACTAGGGGCACAGAGATGTTATTCCAAGACAATAATAGGTTGTCAGTTTAATATATTGCATTTTGCAGCTCTCACATACTGCTTGCTGAATACAGAATGTATTGTCAGTTGCATTTAAAAAGAAAAAGTGAAATTGAAAAACTGTTATAATAAAAATTCTAGGCAGACATTCCGATACCCAGTGTCCTGGGGAAGATGCTTGAGGTGGGCAGAGCTGTAGAGATTATCCAATTCAAGCTCATTTACAGATGAGAATTCTGAAACATGGGCCTGGGGGAAAATCTCAGTCTTCTGTGGGGTCTTGTGATTCCCAGCTCAGCTCTGGTCTTTACACCACAGCACAGACTTCAATCTTAAAATAAATGAAAGTAAATTAAATACCTCAGAAAATAGTGGAGGCTCCAAAGATAGGATTGTAGGCTCTGCAGTGACACAGGCAAGTAATGGCCTGTGGTGTTCTCACAGGGCACTTGAAGGATTGCCTCATGATGACATTAGCACAAGTGTGCGGGTGACTACAAAATAGTCTATGACTTTTAGTCTCCGTGTAAATTACGCCTAAATTTTCTAATACATCTATACATTATCCATAGCAGACAATTAATGAAAGCAGGAATTTAAGTAGAAAAGGTATTACATTTTCCCAGGATAAAATTTAGATATTAGATTTCCTTGTTTGTAGGATCCAGGTCCTGAAAAAAGTCAATATATTTGTTATTTCAGTTCATTGAGATAAATTGCATCCACGATTAATTGAAGGAATTCAGAATCATTACTTAGATTCTTGTTTTAGTAACACATGGCTGTCTCTTTAGAAGTAGTGGTAGGACATAGCATGTAGTTGTGTTTTCTGAGCTTATGTTTCTCAAACTTTGGGTCATCACCTATTAATAAATTTTATAGGGGCTGGAGAGATGACTCAGTGGTTAAGAGCACTGACTGCTTTTGCAGAAGACCCGGATTTGTACCCCAGCACCCACATGGCAGCTAACAACTCTCTGTAACTACAGTTCCAGGGTATCTGATGCCCTCTTCTGGTCTCCACAGGCACTACATGACATGGGTGCTCTTACATGCAGGCATAAATACACATAAAAATAAAAAAAAAGATAAATAATTTATAATGAATTTAGTGAGTAGCAATCAGCATACCCAATCTAATGAAATGAATCAAATAGAAAACATGAAAGTTCTTAGGTAGTCAGGATATTATTTCATGTAGCTTGCATGCCTATGTGCCTCTGTCTATAAAATAGAGAGTATTAAGTTCTGATATAAAATGTATTTCTTATTGGCAGGTCAGAAAACACCAACACAAAAACATAAGAGTACAGAAAGATTTATTACCTACAGTAGGTGAAGAGAGCATGGGAGTTGTTTCTAAAGCAATATGTTCCTTAAACAAAGGAACATTTATTCAGTGAGCCTATACATATCTATATGGGAAAGCACTTTGAGGGCAGGCACATTCCTGAGCATGCTCTATTCAGTACATTAGTGAACATTCTCAGTTTCAGGCCATGCAGTTCAGGAAAGAAGGATGGTCAACAGAAATTCTTCTGGGCAGCCTTTGCTTATTTTCACAAGTTTTATCTATGGCCAAAGAAAAGATAATTAGAAGGTATGTTATATAGACATTTCTCCCTAAGGTTCCTGCCCCACTTAGCTGCCAACAAGTTATTGTGTCGCTGTTCACAATAGCAAAGATGGGAAGTCAGACCAGCTACCCACCAACAGATCAATGGAAAAAGAAAACTATTATAGCCTATGAGTAGACACATATATATTTGAGTACTGTCCATCATAAAGAAGAATAAAATTATATCATTTCAGGAAAATGGCTGGAACTAGAAGGCATGATGTTAAGCAAAATTTGCCAGATGAGGAATGTTTTCTTTCTTGTTTGGAAACAAAAACAAAGCGAAAAAGCCCTGACTGTAGAAGGGGACTGTAAGAGAAAGGGTAGCAGACTGGGAGAAGAGGGAGAGAGGGATGGCTAAGAGATGGTAGAAAAGGGGTGCACATGACCAAAGCATGATAAAAGTGGGTGTGGACAAGTCACAATGACATTCAGTAATTTATGCAATTAGTGTGTGCTAATAATTATAATTAAAATAATTAAAAGGGTTTAGAGAGATACTTGGAATCACCACTTTCTAGCCCTTAAGACTGGAGTCATACCAAGACAGTGAGTTCTGTGGGGGAAGTGCTGCTCTGTGGTTGAGCAAAGAAACTAGTAGAACCTTGAATAGGGAGTAGACAGTTTGCAGAGTATGTATCTAATGAAACAATCATCAACTAAGTGCAACTGAGTTTTCAGTCAGTATAAAGTCATAATTTTGATGGATTGCTGGAAATTAACTTAGGATCATCCCAGTTTTAGAGCTCTTTTTTTTTTAAAAAAAATTAATGTCCACAATTGGTGAATACAATCTTTGAAATGGCAGCAATACTAGAATCAGTTTGTATCTCCATAAGGTTGAAACCTTGCAGCATGAAAAACTGTCAGTTCTTAGATATTTGCCATTGAGTGCTGAACCCATTTGCCCTTGTAGATTGCTCTGGCAGTAAAGCATGTGAAATCAGAGCAAGGTTCCTTCTTTATAGCACAATTCTTACCCTGGGTTGGATAGCAAACATATATCATGGCCGCTCTTTACCAAAACAACATGTTCTGTAATTTAATCCTTTCCTCCCATTCATAATTGCCCTAAATCCTATTGCTTTTAACTCTGGATGCTTTTTATCCTTTTCCCCTTAAAAAAAACCAAGATCTTGATAAGTTCATCAAAGTGAATCCTGAAATTCTTACAAACAACCAAAGGTAATAAAACTGTTTTTTAAAATGTGGTTTGGTCATGAAGACGGTTTTGTTTTATTATTCCTATCAGATTTATAACCTTGATCTTACTAAAAGAACAAGCTTTATTATTCATCTGTTCTCTTTCTATTTTTCCATTGAAAGGGATCTGGATAGCATCATCAAAGGGAGCCCTGCAGAAATCAGAGGCAATCAGAGGTAACAAAACTAAGGCAGTTGATTTATATTTTCATCTGTATATTTTCCTTATATGAAGTGGATTTTTACTATTGCTATATCGATCTAGCATAACTCCAAATCCCCATTGCTAATCGAAACCTTCTTTTTTTTTCTGGCGCTTTTAAACAGTCAAGACTTGGACAATCTTATTAAAGTCAAACCTTCAGCTCTCAGAAATACGGATCGGTAGGTGACCTTGCCTGATCAATTTTGAAGTATTCTCAAGGTTCTACGGTAGGAATTTTCTTTCTTTGTGTTTTGAAGAAGGCTTCTATTTTTCTTTAGTGTTTCAAGGGAGGACCCATTTATAACCTGTGTCTTTTGTCAACAAGAGATGTATTCCATTTTTCTGGAATCAATTGCTTGTTTTTGGAATCGTTCTGGGATTCTTATTTGCACTAAGATAACTTAATGTTTGTTATCTATAGGAAAAGGAATTTCAAGGCTGAAATGAAATTAAATAATAAGGATAAAATTAATAAGGGTAAAATTAAATAATAAGGAAAAGCATTTTGAGAAAGTTGAACTAAATTGGAAAGGATATTTAGGTCATTTAAGATGCCAGTTCCATAGCTTGTCTGAGGTCACAAAATATTAAAGCAGACTTTAACCATGAATTTACACTTTGAGTTTTGAGACTATTATCCAGTTTCTATTTTTATGTCATTTTTTGCTTCAAGTTATTAATATATAACGAAGCGAGACATGATTCACATGTGAGTTAGAAGTTCGGGTTGTCCTACCTAGATGAATTACATGATAGCAATTGTATGACTGGGCATCGCAGTCTAGCATTCTGAGAGGAGAACAGATTATGAAAAGTACTCGGAAACCCATGAGGAGAGAAAGGACAGTGCAATGCAAGGGGTGGCCAGATTCTTACCTGGTTTCCTACATCAATGCCTTTTTTGGTCTCCTTGTATTTTTTTTAAACCACCGGAGTGTCGGGTTTTAGAAGAAAGGAAGCATAAAGGTAGTTGAAAAGCAATGGGTACTCAGAGGCTAGTTTAAACCTACAGCATTTGTACATGTTCCATTTTCACTTACCTCATGGAATATATATTCATATAGCTTGTTTTACTGAAGAAATTATATAGCTTAAAGAGACTAAATTGCCATCCAAAGAAAACATGTACCAGTTATAAACTCAGATGCTTCTGTTGTTATGGCCTTGAGGGAGGAAAAAAAACCCCAAGATCTGTGGTTGATTTTCTCCAGATAATTATTGCTAAAAACAAGGATGAAAGTACTTGATGAACATACATACATGTGCATGTATGCATAATTTGTGTATGGGAGGTGCTGGGTTGTGACTCCAGAGCCTTGCACATGGTAGGCAAATGCTATGTCTCTGAGTTACATCCCATCTCATACATAGAGCTATTTTAATGGCTGAAATAATAGCAAGCAATGGATCTTACAATTGATAAATATCTGAAAATAATTTTGTTAGAATAATTTCTTCATAGTGGTATTTGTTGGGATAAATTTTTCTTTTCATTAGTAACAGTTTTAGGAGATTAACAATCATACTAATAGGTTTAATAGCTATGTTGTACAATAAAAGAGTGGAAAATCTTATCTATCAGTACCATTGTGTCCACAGTCTACCAAGTACCTATGTACGTACCTTTTCTTTCTTTCTATCTAACTATCTATCCATCCATTAATCCATCCATCCATCATCCTATCATCTATCTATCTATCTATCTATCTATCTATCAATCATCTATCTATCTATCTATCTATCTATCTATCTATCTATCTATCTATCATCATCATTATCATCTCTCTGTCTCTATCTCTCTTACCCCATCAACTCCTCTTCCGCATTTTTGGGAAATGTGTTATATTGATAGTGGAAACGTTTGTGAGTTTTGACTTTGACTTCATCGCAAGAGGCTAACTTTATAAACATCATTTGTATTTTAGCAACTCATTCTTCAAATATCCATAGAAAGAGGACATTTTCCTTAAACAAATATGATTGCTATCAAAAGGAATTTTTAAATGCTGGGAATATATTATTCTATAATGGTAGTTTAGTTGGCAAATCTAACCTATGTCTGACATCTTCAGTAGCACACTAGTCTTGGTGACAAATAGCAAAGAATTATCACACAACAGACAAACAGAGAAAATTGAACTATTTGAAAAGAGTGATTTTATTGGATTGATTCAGCCATCCGCATCTTCAATATAGCCATATTGCCCTCTTGATTTCAATGTAGGTAAAGAAAAAGGTGTTTTAAAGCATATCCTGGTGGGATGAGCCACCACAAGCCCCTTTCACATCAGTGCAATGAGACACAGGCACTGATTATTTAATAGCAGAGCAGTGGTGAATCAGAGTTCTTTTATGTGACTTTGTTGACATTTCCAGCAGCTGCATATTGAATTCATAGTTAGAGGCTGAATAAACTTCACTCATCTATCAGAGAACACACACAGGCATCCCTGTGAGTCTATGAACACAGCAGCCAGAACAAATGCAGATGTGCACAGTTTCTATTTATTCAATGAGAAATAATGGCTTTTTAGCAGTAATCATGAACCAACAGTAAAGAGAGATCCAGTTATGTGTGGCCTATAAGCTGATGGCCTATAGGTTCATTATTAATGCTCTAAAGTTCTGCTCCCCAGTAACTAGTGAAGACCACTGCATATATGTAGTGACATTAATGCCTTTACAGTAAGAAAAAGCATTATTCATATAAAGCAAAAATTATTTCTGGTATCACACTTCAATTTTTTAAAAAATATTTAATAGCCACATGATTAGAAGAAGCATTTCATTGCAGCATTAATATATTCAATAACAATTTCCAGAGCAAAGATGCATCTCTTTCAAAATTGGCTGTAATTTTTAGGTTCACAGTTGAATGAATACAGTTATACAATGCTGAACTCAGTATAAACCCTACAAGACATAAAATTGAATGAGGTTTTAACATTTAAAAAAGATCTCCATTTCATTTTAAAATATACTGTTTCATACAGAAAAACTCATTTATAATGATACTTAGATGTTTGGACATGCGTCTCTAATCTCTATGTGTCTGTTTGTTACTAGTCACAGTCAGTTACACTTGGATCCTTGGCACCTGAGTATGGATATAAAGTCATCAGGTAGATTTTAGTGGTAATGTTTATCACCTCTGCTAATTAACATGAAGCAAATTTTTATGCTTCTTCCTCAAATATAATTCATTTTTTTATTTGTTGATTTTTTTGTGTGTGTTTCATACAGAACATCTCAAACAATCTTATTCATCTATATACCCACATTCCAAATGGCATCCTCCAATAGCCTCCCCTACCCCACTGGAGCCCATATTCCCTGTCATCCCTATTACTGTCCACTGTGGTGTCAGCACCCTGGGCCATTCCCCAGTACTTGTCCATCAGCTGAATCTAGTCAGCCTATCTAGAGGTCCTTGTTTTAGGAAGATCAGCTCTTCCTCATCTAGCAGTAATCAGTTGTCAATATTCCTTTAGATAAGATTGGGGTCTGCTGTTCATTTTCCCAGTTCTGTGCTGGGTTACTATCTGGGAGTTTCTTGGGCCACCCTGGGCAACTCTCCTGTCTGGCATTGTTTCTTGTTATGTAGCCTTTAGCTATGCATATGGTCTCTAAAATAATTATATTGATCCCTTTAATCTTTGGTTATATTTTCCTTGTGGGTTTTTAAGACCATACAGTTGGCCCAGATAAACCAATTTATTTTTACTCTTAAGGTTGTTTGAGGATCTATTCCTCAGGGGTCACATGGGCTTGGGAGGAGCCCCTGGCTCCTTTCTTTTACCAGTTCCATCAATGCGAAGATAAATTAAAGGTCCACTTCACGATGGGGCTTTGCTTGGAAGCATGGAGAAAACTTTCCTCTTTGTTGACCCTCCTTTTGGTAGACTGGACACTGGTTCAAGTTTCCTCTGTGTTGACCCTCCTCTTTGTATACTGGACACTGGTTCAAGTCCATTTGGTTGGGTCTCTTTGGCCTCCTTGACTAAGAGGACAGGTGACACACCAGAGTTACAGGACATTTTGGGAGATACTCCATACATAGTCCCCTGGAGCTTAGTCGACCTCTGAGGACAAGGAGCAAAAACTGTCCTTTATGTCCCTCTGAACAAATTAGTATAGGCCTCAAAGTATATCTGTTAGACATCCAAGAAGGTTAGTTCCACCAGTCTGGTTCTTTTAATTACCATGTGCTCTGTAGATAAAACTTGGGCAAAGACCAAACGTTCTCAGATAAACCTTGCCTAGACGTATATTATCCTTGAGTTAGTTGTATGTATAATATGTCAGTAGGTTGTTGGAGTAATATGGTTCCCTCTGTTTTTTTAAAACTAGCTAGGCATTATTTATCTCTAGCATTGTCTAACCCTTCCACCATAGTTTCCCCATTTAAAGTGCCCCTGTTTTTCCCATTACTCCCTTAATAATACCCTTCTCCTAAGGTCCCACCTCTCTTGAGCTCCTTCTTTCCCTTTATTCCTAAGGTTCCTTGTATAACCCTCCCTTCCCTCTCCCCTTAAAACAACCTCGTTTTTAATCCATATCTCCCTTATTAATGCCTGTTTCTGTTCTCTTTCAGATTCTTTCTTTTCCTTTACCTCCCTGGTTCTTTTTCATTATCCTGGTTTCTGTAGTTATATCTGGATATATACTCACTTATAAGGATTTGGGGCTAGGATCCACATATGAGGGAGAACATACATCATTTTTTTAATTTTTTTATGAGTCTGTGTTACTTCACTTAGTGTAACAGTTTCTGGTTCCATCCATTTACCTGCAAATTTCACGATTTCATCTTTCTTTACTGCTGAGTAAAACTCCATTGTATAAATGAACCACATATTCATTATCCACTTGTCAATTGAGGGACACAGGTTGATTCCATCTAGCTATTGTGAAAATAGCAGCAACAAACATGGATGTACAAGAGTCTCTGCAATAAGAGACTTGGGTATATGCCAAGGAGCGGTCAAATGGTAGGTTCATTTTTAATGTTTTAAGAGTTCTCCACACTGCTTTCCACAGGGGTTGAACAAGTTTGCAGTCCCACCAGCAGTGGATGAGTTTTCCCCTTTCCCCATATCCTCTCCAACATTTGGTATAATTTGTTCTCTTGATCTTAGTCTGACTAGGGTGAGATGAAATCATAAAGTGATTTTAGTTT